AAATGAACATTACAGGAATGATGAGCAATTCAGAGAGAGGCAAAAGAGCTACATAAATGAACATTTCAGGAATGATGAGCAACAGAGAGAGGCAAAAGAGCTACATAAATGAACATTACAGGAATGATGAACAATTCAGAGAGAGGCACAAGAGCTACATAAATGAACATTACAGGGATAATGAGCAATTCAGAGAGAGGCAAAAGAGCTACATAAATCAAAAGTACAGGACTAACGCTAAATTTAATGAACCGTACAGGAGACATATTGTTGAAAGATATTTAAAAGATCCAATTTTTAAGCGAAGGAAAAAAGACCATTATACAAATCGATGCAGAAATAATTCTGAGTTCTATGAGAAAAGGAAGTCAAATTTGAATCACCGTTATCACAATGATATACAACTTAGGACCCGCCAAAAAATGTATTACTTATTCAAAGTGCTAAAGAAAAGATCTGCTCTTAACGTAATTAGCAAGATTCAATGTGCACAACACATTCAGGGCAAATACAGAAAAGTTTATCTTATGCACCAGCAGAGAAACATATTACAAAATAGCCAGTGTGACACAATACAAGATCCAGGAGTTTTAAGAGCTCTAAATACTTTCAGAGATGTTGTTAAACAGGGACCAACCTATGTCTGCACATGCTGTGCTAGAGCGCTCTTCTCAAACCAAGTACATCTTTGTGACCGTGGGCGATATCAGAAGAATCCACCAGTTTCTTCAGTATGCTTAAGTGGAAACTATGTTCATATCTGCTCTGACTGCCCTGATCAATGTGCCTTGGAGAACAGGAAAACAGAATGGATCTGTCACGGTTGCCATACAACCCTGATGAAAGGTTTCATGCCAGATATTGCAGTAGCTAATATGCTTCAATTCACTTCCATTCCTCCAGAACTCAGTGATTTGAATATTCTTGAGAGACACGTTATTGCAAAGTACATTCTCTTTGCTAAAATTATAACGCTTCCTAAAGGTCAACAGAGAGCTATAAAAGGAGCCGTCATATCAGTTGCATCTGAAGTGGAATCAACAGTAAAGTGTTTACCAAGACCAAGAACTGATTGCAGTTGAAGTTTGATTGCATCATATAATAATTGCTGTTAATAGTGTTTATCATCTGTTTGATTACGTCTTTAATTGATTTTTCCGTACATTTCTGCCATATGTACATTAACTGAGTCACCATTGATAAGCTACTACTAAATATTGTAGACAACTAATTTGCTGTAAAGTTGCTTTGCAACGATTTGTATCGTGAAAAGCGCTATAAAAATAAACTTGAATTTAATTGAATTTAAGAAAACTAAAAGAAATTCATTCAGAGTGTAAAGATATTATTATAAATGATACAGTCTCAGAAGAAGAAGTGTTTAATCAGCATTAACAGTCCACAAATGACATCAGTGCTTCTGATGAGAAATGAGAACACTGAAGAAAAGAGTAATGGAAATTAACACAATGATTCAAGTCATGACCCTGAGAGTACTGAAGAACAGCCCCCTGGTCTTGCCTTGGATACATGTCTTCAGCCCCCAGATCTTGGCCAGCACTTGTTGTCCTATGAAGATGGAATATTTTGTATTGCCCCAGCAGAGAGAAATAAACCAATAAGTATGTTTAACCCTTTAGGCGCCAGGTTTTTTTGGAAAAATGCTGGATTTTGACATCAAGATTTCAAAACATTGTGGCTTGAAAGGGCTTAAAGATGGAGATCTAATGTAAATTAGAAAAATGTTGGGCATGACCGAAAGTTTATGTGTCCTAAATTAGAATCTGTGGCTTTTCCAGTGCAGTTTCCAGATGGTATGAACACCATTGATGAGCCTGCCAGAGCAAAAGGTGTCTCCCCTACAAGACTGTTCTCTGTTGACAATCGTTGTGTTCACGATACAAACTATATCTTCTTTGCACAATTTGTCACTGAAATGCACATGGCCACATCTAGCATGTCTGTTCAGCTAAGGAAAGCTAAACCCATGACACGTGATGGACGTAGAATAAACTGTTCACTGCTGCAGGACAAACAGGAGTTAGAAAAGCGTGTAATAAACAAGGAAGCTACACGTTTCATGCAACCATTAAGAGGGACACCAGCATACTGGGAGAAAACTCTGTGCGACTTGTTTGCTATGTTGAGACAACTGGGCACTCCCACATTTTTCTGTACGTTTAGTGCTGCTGAGATGAGATGGCCTGAAGTCATAACTGCTATTAAAGAACAACAAGGTGAAAGTGTGAACTTCTCTGAATTAGACTGGTATGAAAAAATGTGAAATCCTGAGAAGCAACCCAGTCACAGTAATTTGAATGTTTGAGAAACGAGTTGAAGCCTTAATGAGAGATCTAATCATGTCCCCTGCTCAACCTATCGGTGAGGTTATTGACTTCTTTTATAGAGTGGAATTCCAACAACATGGCTCTCTGCACATTCCCTGCTTATTTTGGGTGAAAGAAGCTCCAGAATTTGAGAAAGATCAAGATCAGGATGTGTGTGATTTCATTGACAAATACATCTCATGCAAATTACCAGACCCAAACAAAGACCCCGAACTGCATAGAATTGTAAGCGAAGTACAGGTGCACAGTCGTAACCACTCCAAGTCCTGTAGAAAAAAACAAGAAACATTGCAGATTTGGATTTCCTAAACAACCCATTAACAGGACCATGATAACTCGTCCCAGACCTCCTCCTGTAGATGAATCGGAAGACCGTGATGAATCAATAGAAGACAGAGATCATGGTAATGTTAAAAAGGCACAATTTCAAAAAGTGTGGGATCTACTGAATGACTCCACTCAAAATTTTGAAACCACTGCACAGCTGCTTCATAAAGTCAACATGACTTATGAAGAGTATGAGAATTATATTACAGCTCTGTCTACATCAAATGTAACAGTTATGGAGAGACGACCACAGGACTGCTGAGTTAACGGCTATAATCCTTTGCTGTTAAGAGCTTGGAATGCAAATATGGACATACAATTTAAAGATTCAAGCCATGATAACCTGTCTGATCGTGAGTGCATGAAGCAGGTCATGAATGCTTATTCAAAGAACAGAGAAGTCAGTGCTCAAGAGGCTCACACATGCAGTCTGAAATTTAAATCGTCATCACGCACTGTTATATTCATACCAACTGATGACAATGCTGTAAAGATGAGTTTACCCATGAAATGTTTGCAGACCATGGACCCTGATTTGGAAAATGTGTGAATGACAGGATTACCAGACCAAGTACAAGGCTAGGCCAAACAGACCTGAATTTGAGAACATGTGCATGGCTGAATTTGCAAGTGAATACTGCATAGTTTATGCAGGACAAACTAAAAATAAAAATGTTTTGGCACTTCAAAAAAATATGGGACACATACAGAAAAGAACAAGGGGAAAACCTGCTGTTATTAGATTTGCCCGTTTTTCACAGCAGAAAACCCCAGAAAAATTCTATGGAACTCATCTAAAACGTTATCTACCATATCGCACAGATGACCAGCTTAAGACCACAAGACTCTCGACATATGCATCATTTTA